TAAAGAAAAAAACAAATACCTGATTGTATTCGTTTTCGGATGGCTGCTTTGCTACATTAGTGCAAGATAATGCACTAATGTAGCAAAGTTCAAATCTTCTTCTTGGTGTTATTGTGTTCACTGTACTCTTCTTCTGATTCTGGTCTCTAAAGTCACCAGAATCTAATCAAATAGAGGACCTTTATAGTGTGTTGGAATAGGAGATTTGCATTATGGATGTACAGCCAACAACTCACCAAAACTGTGTTGTGTTTTTGTGTCAATTTGGATCAAAACTCTAAGAAAACAACTAGTTGAATCTCTGCCAGGAAGAATTTGAGGGGTGGCTTTAAAAGAAAAGGCAATCTAATCCAGGAATAGCAAGGTGTCTCAAATAACTTCTCCACAGAGTGTAAATGCAAAAGACAATCTAGAAATAGCAGTAGGTTATTATCGCTGTGTTTGTCGGCTAAGTTTATTTATTTTTTAATGCTCAAGGTAAGCCTGCTGACAACAAAAGCTGTCAGTGATCTGATGAATTATGTCAGGTTCGAACTAAAAGCAGAAAATTCAATGTTAAACTTTCCCCAAAAAACTCCTAAATTAAGGCTGAACTCTCACCAACTCTTTGTATCGGAGCACCGCCTGCTCTCCCCGCTGCAAGCTCTCCTCTCTCCTGTTTTTGGCTCTCCTGATCTTTTCCTCTGCCTTTCGATGGCTGCTGATCTTTTTCACCAACACAACCACAGATCCCACTGCACAGGCAACACCAGTGAGCAGAGCCGCCCTCTGACTGTCCATCTTCACTCCCTTGAGAAAATCCTGGATGCTCTGCAAGGCTTGCATCTTTGTCCTGTCACCGCAACTCCAGTTTTAAACGGGACAGGTCGGCCTTAGTCAGGCTTAAGTATGCTAATCAAGAGGGCGCTGTTGTGCTCAAATCGTTGTCAGGGACCAAGCAGTAAAGCATAAAGGACACAGGTGTTTTAATTCAAAAAGGGGGTTTTATTGACCCAAAAACATGAAGATATATTTAACAAAGCCAAAACTTAAACAGGCAGACCAATAAAAGAGGTCAACTTAATAGACTAAACTCAAGATAATAATTAACAAAACCTCAAACAAACATAAGATAAACTGACCTGCTGAAATGGGGGAACTTAAACACTGGTTTAGCTAAACCAAATGACACACACGGGGAAAATTAAATGGCTGCCATATAACCAACTAATACAAGTCAATTAAACAAACATGAAACACCCCCCTGGCAATGAAGCATGTGGTGCTATCCAATTAGGCTGTCAGTGGTACTTCAGGTCTCCCAGCCCTTTGCCACACCTTTTGCCAGACATAAACACACCAGCTATGTTTTGGTTCTATAACATTTTTCTATTATTACTTTATTGTGAATTATAGGTGCAAGAGTTTTAGAGTGTGGATAATTAAATAATAGATCAATGTAATAGCAAATTGTGCCTTGTTCTCAGATTCACAGCAAGTGGAGAGTGATAGATGAGATCAGGAGATGGAAGGAGGAAGAGAGGCAAGAATGATTCACAGGCAGAGAAAAGTTTGTTTCTCACAGTTTTGTTCCCTTATGGTTTCAAGCACTGTCAC